TTGGAATAGTTCATTATGAAACTTCAGGGGTGAATGAGTTAAGCTGGATACTAATGAATCACAGAACGAGATGTTGGACCCAATAATACCTCAACATTTACTTGTAAGTGTCTGGATGAATATTCTGGTAGCAAGAGTTTTGTTCAAGGGTTCTTGGGTATACTTTCTCTCTCATATCATGAATTTAGAAATGGCCATAACTTAACTCTACTTCCTACATTACTGAAGTGTTTTATCTATTCTACCATGCAAAAAATAGGATAATTTATGTTTCTCTTGTTCATTTCATGTCAAGCTTAAAATCTACTCTAGACCAATTAACTGTTAAATCTACATTATTTTTATTTTATTTTAAAGAACACACATATTATCCATGCAACAAGCAACATTTGATGCCTTTTTTCAACCTTCTTTCCAAATATTCTTCATAAATTAATGCACAGACTCACCATTCCTGCTCACAGATACAAAGACCCAACAGACACACCGATACTCAACTCTCTTAAATGGATTCAATAAAAAAATATTTCTATACATGAACTATTTAATAACTATTTCATGTTCTTCCGAGACATCCAGAATAAACAACAAATGTGCATACTCCCTTTCGTACAAAACACACAGAATTCACAGATCATATAATACACTTATTTTACATATGCCTTACACAGCTGTGTCAGTAAACTTGAACTGCACAGAACGGTTTTGAAATGTTTAAAAAATTGTTGTGAAACAAACAGGTAGGTAAATATAACAGTAGTTATGGTTACAATTTTGTATGATACAAATAATTACATGTGATAATATATGTTGAGGAATATATCATCAGCAAGATGATCATGATCTATCACAAGACAAAAATGTACAAGGATATCACATCAAAATTTTGTAGTGACATTGCATTGCCTTGCATAACTATACTCTCACCATGATTCATTCTCCTGATCAGACAGTTTCTTAACTTCGCGGTAAAATCTCTAATGAATTACAGATATACAGGGAATGTTAGATACATAACCCAATGGATCGACTAGATTATTTTTTCATGCACAAGAGTGACTAGATGTTGATGAATTCTAAGGTATGTATACCTTATAAGTAAGAGCCAAGTAATTATAATTTATTTATTGAAAATTGAGCAATCAATGACTTTTCTACAATACCAAAAAAACACAAAAAACATAATTAAGAATAATGAAGTTTTGATGCTATATCAAGTATTAACTTGAGAAAATAATACCAATAGCTAAATACAATCATCGTCTTTCCTCACAACCTCTATAGCCATGTTAATTGTGAGAGGCTACATTTTTATCACAACAAAGTTCTAAAATTCATTTTTTTTTCCACCAAAATAACATGCTGAAAAAATACTATTTATCAAATGTACAAATACTTAGAAGAAATGAAAATCAGTTATCATTAACGTATAATCTAAATAGACCTTCGCCCCTTTTTTGTTGACACTTTGTTACCGACCATGAAGGAGTCCAAAAAATATTCTCGAGTCTGGTAATGAACTGTCGTGTACAATGGAGGATATCAATATGATCTTGTAAACTTGTTGTGAACTTAGTTGACCACCTGTAAAAGGTCCAGTGTAGTAACAATGTCCGAGCTTGGTTATAGACCATCCTGTAGAATGGAGGATATTAACACCTTGTCCTGTAATGCATGTTCCAGTTCCTTTTCATTTAACTTCAATGAGACCTAAAAGATAAATAATATAAACTTTTTTAATTGAACATTCAAATAAACTTCAAACACACCATTTAATCTTAAGAACTCTTGAAATCAAATATTATAGTCGGTGGTAATGCTATATCTAGCATTCCCATATATGAATTCACATGAAAAGTCCTATTGTGTAAAAAGAAAACTTTGATAACTTTTCTTCATAGTTTAAACCTGTTTTTTTTTTATGAATTGCATGTAACAGTCAAAACTGTTTAAACTTTAAGGAAACATCTACAATCAAACTTTTTGTCTGTATTTCAAGACTAGGACAGTAATCTATTGCAGATCTGACCTTGAGGCAAAGTCTGATTCGTTCCATAGAAATGAAAAAACTCGTTACATAAACTCAAAATGTTGGATGAAAGTGAAAATGAAAGATAAGTAGGGATGAGCCCTAAATCTATGACATGATGAGTGTACCTTTGCTAGTCGTCCCTCTTTAGGTTTTTTGATGCCTATAATGCCTCGTGTCTCTAGGAGACTGCACAGACCCTGGAACTCGTCATGTGTGGCCATCTGTCTCTTTTTACACACCTTTGTATAGGTGTCCTGTAGCTGTAGGAGGAAAGGAATATTCACTTAGGTTACTTTGGGACTAACAAACATCAGTACACCTAGAGTAGGACGAAACAAACACATGTATTTAAGGTCACCGCACACTTACTGTGGAACAAAAACAATTATGCCAAGAAAATAGCAAGACCAATATAGACTTAATTTAGTGAAAGGGGATTTGCAAGAGAAGACCTCTCGAGACAATTCTAAGGCCACTCGGGTAAAGGGAGCATGCTATTTATGTAAACACTTTTTTAAGTTTTGATTTCAGTGTTACCCTGCCATTCAAAGATGTACTTGTGTACAAAAATTATTTTAGGAATATGCCCCAGACAAAGTGATAAGTTCGACGAGATAAGAGTCAACATCACTTCAGGAATTCCTCTAGCACATGTACTTGCAGGCAAAATATGGAAGTAGTAGATGACATGCTACTGGAGAACTGCCCTGGTGATGTACAGAGCGCAAACCTATATCAATGATCCTTTTCAAAAGCACTGACAGGGGACTAATAAACTTAGCCTTAGCTAGGCTTTTGAGCAGGATTTGACTATGCCTTTTTAACAAAAGTAGGAAACCAAGGTTATTCTTGCAACTGTGTTTACCTGAAACTATCATAATTTTCAGAAAACTCTAAATGGTATGTAATTAAATGAAAATATACCAATACACTAACCTTTCCCATGGTAACTTCCTTCATACGGCCCTGCTTGACCATCAGCAGAAGAGTACACACCACCAGTTTCTGCTGTATGGGAATGCTATCTTGACTGGATGAAGTTGTACTGGACCCATACACTTCTGATAATACACTTGAGATCTGCATCACACCAATCTTCTTTGGAATGGCTGGTGGCCGTTTGGAAGGACTGTTCAATGCTGCAAACAAAACCATTCAAACATTAATCGTTTCATTTTCTGTAAAACAGCTTGAAACCCATAAAACTGGAAATGTTTATTGCATATTAAATTCTTTGGTAATAAGGGGAAACACATGACCTTGAATATTACAATTTTCAGTATTTTAACTGCACACAGCAAAATGACAGCTCGAGGTAGATGGATTTCGAAGATGAAGGGTGATTAAGTATTCTTAAGTGTTTTGTTTTTTTGCTTTTCCTAACATTGTTATTTCAAATGAACCTCTTTCTCATTGCTCCTTGACTTTCCAAGGAACCCAATTATAAAGGGAATTTCTACAGTGAATAGGC